TTACACTGCAAACAAAATCATGACAATGCAGACAAAATCATGACAACGGAAGATGAGCCAACAAAGTCATGACAATGCAGGAAAATCATGAATAACGAGCGTCATGACAAAAATCACGACCGTAGGAGGTCTGGGAGGGTTGCCCTTTTTTGGTTCGACTTCGTTTGCATTTTTGGTTCGCCCCCCCTTCCGGGCCCGCTTCCGGGCCCAGGGGGAGGCCGCCGACGCCGGCGCTGCTTCGCGAGCGCCGCCAGGCCGCCGCGCAAGGAAGGCGCCGGGCGGGCATGCAGGCGCGGCGTGCCCGCCCCGCGCCCGCGGCGGGGCGGGGCCGGGGACGAGGAGGGGAAAGGCGGGCGGAGGAGACGAGGCTGAGCAGGGAGATGGGAGGGGTGATAGGGCAAGAAGGCGGAAAGGGGGAAATGGCGAGGGGAGGGAGGAGCAGGGAGGAGTCATGAGAGAGGAGGGAGGCGGGGAGGGGGAGGGCGGACAGAGGAGGAGAGAGGAGGACGAGGAGGAGTGTGTACGGCGAGATGGAGGAGTAGGGTCACGAGAACGAAGAAAGGGGCATGTGCATCGGGAAGGACGAAAGAGTGTGGCCAAGATCTTTCCATCGGCGCACGCCTGTCATCAACAACGCCGTCGTCTTTAGCAGCAGCATCAGCATAAATTTCGAGATCGTTTTCGTGATTTCCACCATTCAGTTTTCGAAGTTCAGTTTTCCCGTCATACAGCGACGATGGCGATGGCGACGACGGAAATGACGACGACGACGAAGTGGGGCGAAACAAGAACGCGGGGTGTTCCCGATTCGCGGAAGAGAATGCGGGGACAGAAAACATCGAACAACGAAAAAGGCTGATAACAAAGAGCGCAGGGACAGCGGAAAAGAAGCTGAGGACGCGCGGCAATGTATATTCAGAACGACGGCTTAATAAAACCGAATTTTTGAAACAACGTCATTTAGGCATGTTTTCGTCTGTCAAACTGCCTTATTTCGCGGAGCAACACGACGAAACCATTTTGTTGGCGGCGGATCCAACTAAATACTTGAAGTCTTCTGGGGGTGTGCTGATTGTTCACCACTTGTGGTGTTTATTGAATTCCTCGTTCTTGTTGGTTTGCGTTCGCTGGGTTGGTACCAATTGGCCGCAGTCAGTGTATGAATCCCCGCCTCGAACCAAGGGCCTCACAGTGCCGCCGAAGGTTCCGAAGGCCTCCGAGGGCCATCTACGGCCGTGCCCGCGACAGTCGCCACCGATGCCGCCGTCGACGCAATCGTGATCGTCGTGACGCCGTGGTCGTGGCCGACAACGTCGTGGTTTACGTCACAGCCATCGTAGCCGTCGTCGTGGCCGTGTCCGTTGGCAGCGTCGTCGTCGCTTCAAGGATCGACGGTGGAACTACGATGCTTTCGGACGGCTCTGGGCTCCCACGGGGCCCCAGGTGCCTCGGGAGGCCTCCGGAGGCTCTCCCTGATGGGCGGGGGGCGAGGGAGAGGAGAAGAGAGAGAGAGAGAGGAGAGCAGGGAGTGCTCCCAGGGCCACAACGCCTTGGCCGAACCACAAGCCGTGACCCCAAAAGGCTGACGTCTCACTTTTGCTTCCGCCGCCTTCCTTTGGTCGCATTACCCCTAGCTGCGTCAGGCTCGGGAGGTTTCGTGAAGGGCTTTCTGCAAACCTACCGCAATCGCGGCGGCATCGTGCCTGCCATCGATGTGAGGGCACACGGAGGCGCGCGAGGCGGACGACAGCTTGCCCTATAAAATGCTGGAAGAAAAAACCTGACGCGCGCCGCCCTCTGCCATTGGCGGCGCGCAGAGGGGGGGGTATGGGGGAGGGGGGCAGGCTTTCCAGGAGAAGCCTGCTTCTCGGAAGGAGTGGGCCTTACATCTGCAGACAAGGCCCGCGCCTCCTGTGAAGCAGGGAGGCTTCTGAGAAGCCCTCCCCCCTCCCCCAGGCCCCTCTCCTCGCGTGACCGATGCCAGCCTTCGCCAGCGCACCCGCCGCCGGCTCATCTCTGCTCGCCCTCCGCCGGCCCTCCGCCGCCGCCCGCCCCGAGCGAGAGACTCGCCGAAGGCCAGGCCCGCCATCCTGGAATGCGGTGTGCGTTCGGCTCTCTCTCTCCTGAGCCCGTTCGGCGTCCCCGGCCGCTGGCCCGCCGAGAGGGCTCGATCTTGACACGTCCTCCTCCTCCTCCTCCTCCTCCTCCTCCTCCTCCTCCCTCCTCCTCCTCCTCCTCCTCTCCTCCTCCTCCTCCTCCTCCTCCCTCCTCCCTCCTCCTCCTCCTCCTCTCCCTCCTCGTCCTCTTCCTCCTCCTCCTCCTCCTCCTCCTCCTCCTCCTCCTCCTCCTCCTCCTCCTCCTCCTCCTCCAGCTCCTCCTCCTCCTCATCCTTCCGTTCCGCGGCCGACTGGGCTCAGAGGGCAGCCCTGGGAGTGCGTCACGCCGCCCGCGGCCGCGATGTGCATGCGCTCCCACGATGGCTCCGAGTGCCACGGCCCTCGCCATGCCCGCCTCATCCTCCTCTTTGTCCTCCTCCTCCTCCTCCTCCTCCTTCTCCACCTCCTCTATCTCCCTCCTCCTTTTCGTCCTCCTCCTCCTCCTCCTTCTAATCACCCTCCTCCTCCTCTTCCTCCTCCTCCTCCTTCTCCACTCCTTTTTCCTTATGCATAACCTCTCCCTGTCGCACCCGGAGGCCAGTTTTTAGGGCGGTCTGGGCGTTTCGCCTGAGACATTCTCACCACGTATGACCGTGAAGCTTAAATATTGGCAACAGCTTCACAGATGGAGGGCGGGTGGTTTTCAACATGTGGCTCTCGCCTTAGCGCCGCGTGCATTTGTTTCTAAAAATTGCACGAGCTTCGCGGATTCAGGGCGGGTCGTTTTCAACATGTGGCTCTCGCCTTAGCGCCGCGCACATTCGTATGAAACAAATGCAAGAATCTCACGGATTGAGGGTGGCTCCTTTTCAGAATGTGGCTCTCGCACTAGCGCCGCGTACGTTCGTTTTAAACAGTTGCAAGGGTTTCACGGATTGAAGGCGGTCCATTTTCAAAATGTGGCTCTCGCCTTGGCGCTGCACACAATCGCGTAAATTTGCAAGAGTTTCACGGATTCCCATGATCAGACCAGAAATGGCGTTCTGGAAAGATTCCGGACTCTGAGGGCGCAACAATTATGTTGATTCGCGGTGTTGAAATCCCAAGAATGGCGTTCTGGTGAGATTCTGGATCGTCACGACGCAACAGTCAGGTTGATCCGCGGCGTTGGAATCCCATCAGTCAGGGTTCAAACGGTTGTTTTCCAACGAGGCAGTTCCCAGTGGAAATGAACCCTTGTAGGGGCCTATGAAGAGGGAGCTTGGAGGGGGAGCTTATTCCAACATCGTTGATGACTCTTGGGTTTACACTGGTCCATCTCCTCCTCCTCCTCCTCCTCCTCCTCCTCCTCCTCCTCCTCCTCCTCCTCCCAAGGCCTCTCAGAGCCCTCCAGGTGTCTGCCCGGACATCGTGCAGGAGCTCCAAACACACCTCTCGACTCTGGGACTCTGGGCGTCGGATTTGCTTGTTGACCCTGGGCGTTCTCCCTCGGTTCGGGCCGCACTTGGCCCGAGGAGTGCCAGAAAGCTGGGGTGGTGTTTGGGCTCTGGTCATTGCTTCTTGCGCTCTGGTCGTGATCCCCAGCGATGCTGCGACGTCGAATCTCAGGGATCTTCCATCGAGGCCTTCTCCAATCCCCCCCAGGGCCTCACACACCATGGTTGCCTTGGGAGCTCGTTCGGCGCCTGAGCCCGTTCGGCCGCCGCGCGGGGAGCCGAGCGTGAGACCCGGGCCCGCTCGGCTGCCGGAGAGGCGCGATCTCGAGCCCCTTTGGCTGCCGAACGGGCTCCGAGGCCGTGTTGGCTCCGACGGGAACCCCTGGGCAACGTACCCCACGGCCTTCTCCCTCGGTGCCTCTCAAGCCTCCCGAGACCTCCGATACTAGATATAGAGGTCCAACAAATCCACCCCCAGAATGACCACCCCGACACGCGAAGTCGTTTGGTAAACGCGCCCAAAGAAGGAATCGAACAAGGCGGGGCTGTTTAGTAAACGCCCAGGGCAGTTTAGTAAACGCCAATCGTCCGGTCTGGGTTTATTTTCCTCCCTTGACCAAGGCCTTCTGGAACCCCTCGGTGCCTCGGACGCCCCTCAAGACCTCCGATACCATGGCCTCCCCTGGTTTCCAACGTCCGAGATCTCTAAGGGCATCTCGGGGATTCTAGGGAGCTGCTGGCGCCTTCCAGAGCCCACCAGAGCTTCACACACTCCCAGTCGAAGCGCTGACCATTTTCGTTCTTCAACGGGCAAGGTGGCACTTTGACTGATTCGAAGGCAGCTGGTGTGGGCATCCGAAATCTGCGCTCGATGTGGCAGGCGGATCAGGGCACTCGCCGCCGCTGCGACCACGTGCTGTAGCGCACAAAACATGCTGTGGGTATCCGATATCTGCGCTCGATGTGGCAGGCGGACCCTAGCACTCGCTGCCGCTGCGATCACGTGCCGTAGCACACAAAATGGTACGGAACTCTTCAGTCCGTCACCGAATTCTCAGATGCGCGAAGGACGGGTACCACGACATCGAGGTCGGCCACCCCCAGGGAAGCCAGCGGCCCGCGCCTTTGCGAGGGCCGCTGCAACTGGGGGTGGCCTCGGCCGAAGTCTACACGTTGGTCGGAAGAAGTAGGTAGAAACATGCAGTATGAAGCCGGAAGAAGTAGAGTGTGCCCGTGACCAACCGCACGCCGCAGTCGGAGTCCCTCGCGGACCTGAAAAATGTCAGGCCTCATGGCCCGCATCTTTCATGGAGTCGGGCGGCGTGGCAAGATGCCTCGGCCGCAGCCCAGGCCTTTGCGAGGGCTCGCTGCCGCTGCACCAGGAGAGGGGTGCCCTAAATGGTATTCATGGGAGGGGTGGCTTGGAAGCTCGGAAAACATTCTGCTACGAGCGTGCCCCTTTCAGAGCTTAGCGATGGGCTGCAAAACCGAGCGCCGCAGCAAGGGCGAACAGCGGCGCCGTCCGGAACGCCGCGCGGGGGGCCGCGGGGCTCGTCGTGTCGTCGCTCATGGTGGTGTCCGTCAGGCGGCGCTCGTCGGCCATCGTGGTGGACTCGTCCACTGCCGCCCCAGCCGCGTTGCCCACGAACAGGAACGCGATGAGCGCCAGGAGCATGGTTCCAAGGGCGCCACTACGAGCTGCGGCGCTCGTCGTGTCGTCGCCCATGGTGGTGTCCGTCAGGCGGCGCTCGTCGGCCATCGTGGTGGACTCGTCCAGCGCCGCACCCGCCGCGCTGCCCACGTAGAGGAAGGCGAGGAGCGCCAGGAGCACGGTGCCTGGGCTTCCAGTGCGAGGCGCGGCGCTCGTCGTGTCGTCGCCCATGGTGGTGGCGTCATCCGTCAGGCGGCGCTCCTCCATGGTCGTTGTCTGCTCATCGGCGACGCAGCCATGGCTGGAGAGCAGGAGGGCGAACACGGCGAGCACCACGCGGTTCATCGCGGCAAGGGCGGAGCGGCAGAGGCCGAGGGTGCGCAGACAAAGCCTGGTATGCCAGAGGCCTTGAACCCAACAGTAGAAGCACTAACAAAGGACGAACATCGAGAAAACATGCAATACTGGAAACTAAACTATGGGGCGTCCCGGGGAAACAAAACTAGCCCTCACCACAACAAGACCCCGATTATCACAGCTGCGTCGGGAACAGAAGCTTGAACCACACTGCCATCGAGTCACGAATCCATCAGAGGAGAAGGGGTCTGGTGACAGAGTGCGAAGTCCTCAAGTGCGTCTGATACTCTATGGAAGAATTGCGGGACGGTGATGAGGCGATAGACGAGGGGGCTGACGGGTCAAGGAACGAGCATAGAGGGCTAGAAGCCACGGAAAAAGGAACCGATAGGCCCATAAAGGGGGAATCACGCGGATCAGCAGTGAGAAGTTTGAAATTACATGTCCGACTCCGGGCATCCTGAATCCCCCCACATCGGATTATTTGAAAACGAACCTTTACTTTCGCTGGCGTCCGCTGGCCTTTCGCAAATGGAGCCGCCCCCGTTGTGCTTCCGCCATCGTCCACCGAGGACGAGACATCTCTTTCTCGATCCCTCGAAGACGAGACCCATTCTGGAACGCCTCACATAGGGACAGGATCAGTCAGCATCGGGTCGAGAAATCGGATCGGCACGAAAGGTGGGTCGGACCGTGATGCATCGGCACAACATCAAAACCGTATCGGATTGGCTGCGCCAGGATGCACGACGACAACTTGCAAGCACCGGGCCGCATCGGATCATCCGAACGTCGGTGTCGAACCGAAGCGTGCGGGGCCAACCCGAAACGAGACCGAATCGGGTCGACCGGGTCGATGACGACGACGACGACGACGACGACGACGACGACGACGACGACGACGACGACGGGCGGTGACGGGCGAACAAGGCCCGACTCCTGCAGTCCTCGTCTCAGCTGGCTCGCCCGTGCCCTGTCTTCCGCCATGCTCTGTCCCAGGGGGCCCCCAAGGGACCTGCTCGAAGCAGTGTGCACCGGGCGCGGATTGCAGTCAACACGTATCATGAGGATGCGCGGTACGGATGCAAGGGCCTTGGAGGCCCATGTGAACATGTTTCGAGCGATGTTGGCCAGCGAAAGTCGTTAAAGATGGGCCGAAGGGGCAAGGATGCAAGTGCACCCTTGGGAAAGTTGCTCATCCTTACTATGCGGGTGGACTGAAATGGGGGCAGGGGGAAAAAGGTGCTCTTTTCGGGCCCTCCAGGCCCCCTCGGGGGCCCTAAAGGGCTCCTTTAGGGGCCCTCAGGGGCCCCTGTTCAGCATCCCTCGCTACCCTTCCATTATTGCCCTCCCATTACGCGCCCCCCAGTGCAACCGACCAGCTGCTTCCAAGGAACAGGCCCGGACGCACAACCGACCAGCTGGTTCTGGGAAGTAGACCGGAAAGATTGCAGATGCTTGGTGGATGCGTTGGAGGTACACGTCCGACACTAACATATGTCGCAAACAGATTATGTCTTAGCCCAAGCGGTGTGGTCGGAAAACGCCCGCCACCGAACGTATACGATAGCACTCGTGAGCGTGCGCATCGCCCATGCGGGGCCGACACTCACGCAGTAGAAGTCTGGTTAAGTCAAGCCAGTCATCAAAGCAACAGGTGTAGATACCCTGGACATGTATGACAAGTCAGCCCTGCTATGACGAACGAACAGCACACACCCATACCCACAGGGGGTCGTTGGGAGGAGGACTGGCTATGGGGATGGGTGAGGGATGTCGGACCTGGGGGAACGCTTCCCTTCGAGCGGGGACCCCCATCCGACAACACGCACCCACAGCCCTCTCCGACCCCCTATGGGTATGGGTGTGTGTTGTTGGTTCGTCATGCTACTTCAGACTCGTATCATGACGAACCGATCCCGATCGTTCGATATCGGTTGATTCTGGGCCGCTGGCGGCGTTCAACCTGGAACGCCCACAGGGGGTTCGCCGCCGTGTCAACGCGACACCAGCCTGCCGCAAGTGGAGCCCGTGCACGCATATATCGGCGGCGAGCCTGGGGGGAAAAGAAAAAAGGAGAAGGCCTTCTCAGAAGGCTCCAACGTCCCCCGGCCTTCTTGGAAGTTTTCTGAGCCTTCCCCGAAAACAAAAAAAACTACTCAGAAGGCGCGGGGGCTTCTGAGGAGTCCCGCCGCCTTCCGAGAAGGCCTTCTCCTTCTCACGTCCTCCCCTCGCTCGCCGCCGTCGAGTGGGAGGGGGGGGGGGGGCGGGGAGGCGACGGAGAAGGGAAGGAGGGGAAGAGGGAGACAAAACCGAGAGGACGGGGGGCAGGTCGAGGGGGTCCAACGCCACGCTGGCGGCGACGTGGACTGACGGCGGCGTCGGGGATCTGGTCTTTGCGACGCCGAGCTCGCGCAAAACAAATCGCAAGAAAACACGAACAGCGCTTCCTTACAGCTGGGGTGCCCATGAAGCACCCCCACCTGCGATACCGAAACCTGCACCGCCGGGACCGGCATCGCTGGTCTCGTGTCTACGGGGGGTGTGGGGGGGTGGGGTGGGGGCAGTTGGATGCTGAGAATCGTAAGCGCTCGCTGCGGCGGCGAGCGGTATACCACACGGGAATCCAGTGCTGCATCATCGGCGGCTTTGGCCGACTGCAGCGGAAGACAGCCCGTGGTACGTGGCAGGCGGAGTCGTGGAGCCAAGGCAAGCATCCAGAACCGAGCCGTTGGCAACGCCTCCGAATGACACGGCCGAGTGTCGAGGCAGGCACACTCACGGCCGATGCAGAGCCCCAACGGTGCAGCGGATCGGCCTCCCAGGACTGTTGCGCCAGACCCCGGCCCCGATGGGGTCCCCAGAAGAAGAACTGGTCATCCGAACACATTTCGCAACGGTTGTCGATGTCAAAGGGACCTCGTAGAAGTGCACCTTTCTCCTGCACCCATAGGGCGCGGGCCCAGACGCTCCAAAAGCGCCCCCAAACTCGAAAACGATAGATGGGCCAGATCCTTTATTCGTATTCGACATGCTTTGGAGACGCGGGACGTCCCACTGCGGTAGCGCCTACAGAGGCGGGCTGGGCCAGGCAGGGGCCAGCCTTGTCCGAATCGGACGCGGCATCCGCATCTGCGTCGGTGTCCGCAATGGCGTCGGCCTCGGGGCAGGTTGATACGACGCTGCTCGGGAGTCGCCGGCCCAACGGGCCAGAGGCGTGCTAAGATCTCTGGCAACTGGATCCGTTTACCGATAGGACCACCCTGCGGGTGATAAAGAGGTTGGGGGGAAGGGGGGAGGCGGGCGCTTTGCGATGGCTCTAGGTTCTTCGGTGTGTCTCAACTTTCCTATAACTGCGCACATATGCCCATCCATGTATCGACCTATATATCACATTATCTATCGAGGACAACCTTCTATCTACATACCGATCAGTATGTCAATCGAGTTGTCTATGTCTATAAAGATATGTCCATACGTCTGTCTCTAGATAGATATATCTGTCGATATACCTGTTTATCCAGCTGTGATTATATCTAACTATGTATCGTGCGTTTCGCGCGCAGCGCACGAAGCGCTTTGCAATATGCTTACACACACACATATATATATATACACATGTATATGTATGATTCGCATGCGTTTCGCGCACAAGCGCTTCGCGCGCGCAGCGCGCGAAACGCATGGTTTATGATTCGCATGCGCCTCGCGCACGAAACGCGCGAACCGCTTTGCACCATGTACGATTCGCATGCGTTTCGAGCCCATCCCAGAACAGCACCGGGACAACCATATCTATCAACATATATGGTTATACATATATATAGGTATCCATACCCATCAATCCTACTATATATCTGTATGTGTAGATACCTCTGATTATCTTTCTATATATATACATCTATATACATAAACATGTATCGATCCATTATCAAGCCAACAATCGGGACAACCATCGGGACAACCATTGGGACAACCACAACCAGCGGGACAACCGCTGGGACAACCGGGGGCCCTCCTGGCGCTCGGGTGGCGGCCCTTTTGGCAGTCTATGGCTTCTACTGAGGATGGAACTCGCGCAGCTTCGCCTCGCCCGCACGCACGACACAAATCGAAACCAAAACCGATGTCCCGGTTGGGGTAACACGAAGCACCAATTCGAGCCGTCCGCCCCAAGAGGCTGCCAGGAGGCCCCCAAGAGGCGCCCACGAGAGCCCAGGCGGCCCCCTAAAGGCCCCACGAGGCCCCCAAGAGGCCGTATAAGAGGCCCTACGAGGTCCCCAAACGGCCCCCCAAAGGCCCCAAGAGGCCACGAACACGCAGGCAAACGCCAGCGATGGCACAAGAAGGGCCGGCGGAATGAGCGAAGCGATTCAAGAAGGATCAGGAGCGAGACGAGGAGCAGAAAGAGAATGAACAGAGAATAGAAGGAAAGAAGGAAATCAGGAGAAGGAGGAGGAGAGGAGCAGGAATAAGAGGAATAGGAGGAGGACGAGGAGGAGGAGGAGGAGCGATGGTGAAGAGAGGACGAGCACGAAGAGGAGAACAGGAAGAGGAGAAGAGGTGGTTAGAAGGAAAGGGAGAAGTGAAGAAGGTGGAGAGGAGTTGGAAGAGGGCGAGAAGAGCAGGGCGAGCAGGGGCAATCGGGGGGCATTGACGTCAGCAGCAAGACGGCCCTCATGCCTGAGGCCACACACGACTACCCGCACGAAAAGGGATGCCTCGCGGCACACGCGCGTGCCAAACTCGACGTCCTGAATGCAGCCCAAATCACTTCCTGTCCAAATCGTATGAAAGCACGAGCTCGTGAAACTTCAAGGCCCTAAAGATGAGATGGGAGCCTCCACGAGGATCATCTGGCGCCGAGGGCGCTAACCAACAAGGAGCCCACACTTACCTGAACCTCCGCTGGATTCTTGCACGAGCGAGATCTCTTGCACGCCGCTGCAAGCCGCTGCCAACTGCAAATCGACTACCCCGATGCGAACTGATAGCAGCATCGCTCGCCTCCAAGCGGTGGCGAGAACATGTTCCGGGAAAATGTCCCGAGCCGAGATAATGCGTTACGCGTCCAAATGAAAGGCATGGCATGCAACTGGCATGCCTAGGGAAACTCGTCATCGTGCCGTGAGGTACAGGAGTGGGCTCGGGTCTCCCCGAGCTCGCTCTGCACTGAGCCCTGCAAGCCTTATTTGAGGGACACAGGCTCACGATTTGCGCAAGCTCCAGGGCGCTCCCTATGACTTGTCGCGTGACTTTCTTAGGGAACCGAACTCTATACACCGACGCCTTTGCCTGGCCTCACACTGAATCTCGCACAGGAAAGCGGATCCTGGTGTATCCGGGATCCTGGTGTATACATTCTTCTTTTCCCCCAGGAAAACGGGGAAACCAGTATGCACCACACCTCCCCGACGCCGTCCCCGACCCTCAAAAAAAGATAGAACAACCGCCCGCCACTGGTAATGTATATGCTCCAGTTTCCGATTTCTGGAGGCCTCGCGAGAGAGGCTGGGATTCCATAAGTTCAGCACGGTTCAAGATGGTCCCAGGGCCGATCCAGGGAATCTGAAATATTACTTGGCGACCCTGTCTGGGACGCACTGGGAGCCGCCCGAAGAGGCCAAACTTACTACAGTCGGACTTGATTGGAGAGGACACGCGAGAGGACACAAGACCCTTCCGAGGGCCACATCGCCACAGGAGTGTGGGAAGGCACGTGTCGCGAGGCACAGGACACAAAGGTACCCTTGAGCTGGCAGGGTCGACCTACTAATCCGGGCCGACTGTTAAACACATCATCCGTTTCAGTGAGCTTCGCTTTCTCACCTTCTCGGTCTTCCTGAGCGCCTAGGGCGGCTCAAGGGGCGGCACAAATCGCCCCGAAACGCCTTCCACCCCCCCAGGAAGCCCAAGAGGAAGTAACCTGGACCCGGACTGGCATTCCAAGCCCTCCAACCCAACATTGCCTCGAAGACTGTCAGGAGCCCCCCAAGAGGCCACCAAAAAGGCCCCAAGAGGCCCCCGGGACACTCCCCAAGAGGCCACAAGAAGGCCTTCGAGAGCTCGCCCAAGCCACCTCAAGAGAGACACGTGTGAGGCCGCTGGTCCCAAACCCCGATCTGGTGATGCTTGTTTTCCTCCTCCTCGTCCTCCACCTCCTTCCCCCCTCCAACTTATGGTGGTGGTGGTCAAAAACAGGCCCATCGTCGGGTGTTGGGCTGGGCCAGGGGCCACCAGATCCCTCGGCCCCCCGTTGACTTATCAAGGGGAGGCCTGGGCTGCCTAAGTTCTCAATGTTTGCCACATTCGTTCGTAAGGATTTCGCATGGGGCATCGGCCGATCCCGCCGCCCACCCGGAACCACCCGCAAAGCACATCGCTCATTGCCCAGAATGCCTCCAAGAAGGCCAGGGCCAGGATGGCTTCAAGACGGTCCCAAGACTTCCCCAAGACGGCCAAGATGGCCCCCAGACGGTGCAAGATGCCCTCCAGACGGCCCAAGAGGCTCCCAAGACGCCCCAAGAGGGCTCCAAGAGAACCTCCAGGAGACTAAAATCATTGATATCCTGCAGTTTGTTGAATGATTATATCATTTTCGCCTTTTCGGGCTCCAGACGCTCGAAGGTGGACTCTCAGGCCCCCAAGATCGCCTCAGAAAGGCCCATAACGCCTCCAAGGCCAAGAGGGCCTCAAGACGGCACAAGAGGCCCTCAAGACGGCCTCAAGACGGCGCCCAGAGCTCAAAGCGCCCAAAGAGGGAACCACGACTGCCTAGAGAGGCCCCCTAGAGGTCCCGTAGAGGCCCCCAGGGGCCCCCAAGAGGCCCCCAAGAGGCCCCCAAGAAGCCCCTCAAAGGCCTCCAAAATGCTCCCAGGAAGCCCTGAGGGAGCCACAAGACGGTCTCAAGAGGCCTCCTGTTCCCCCGTTTCCTCCTCCTCCTCCTCCTCCTCCTCCTCCTCCTCCTCACCTCCCTCTCATTATCCTTTCTCTTTCTCTCCCAGGTGTCCCCCCAATCGGTTCCACAACGACTGGGGGGGAACACATCGTCCAGTAGCTCGGCCAGACCTTGGGGGCCCCACGCCGGGCCGCATGGGCCTGTGTGCAGAGGCAAGGGGGCGGCGGCGGTAAGCCGTCGTCGTCTGCGATCCTTTCCCGGCAGTCGCTACACCCAAAAACCAGGGCCGGCCCGTCCGGTGGCCACTCAGGGCAGCCTCCCGTACCCTCCCGTTGGCTCTTGCGTATCGACGCCCATCGAGGCGGAATCGACGCCAAGCCGGTGTGATCTCACAGAGTACCAGGCGCTCATCGACGCCAATGCACTCACAGGACGGAGTGGATTGATTACGCAAGGCCACTGTGTACGCCGCGGCACGGCAGGAGGCGATCCGCTCGCGCGTCCAAGCAACCCGTGATACGGCATTGCGAGTCGTCCCGCATGCAGGAGGTGGGAAAGAAGGCGCAACCACGCGGCGAGGCCGCGGGGGGCGCGCGGAGGACGCAGGTCTACCGAAGGCCCGAAGGGAAGGCCCGAAGGAGACCTCTCCTCCTCCTCCTCCTCCTCCTCCTCCTCCTCCTCCTCCTCCTCCTCCTCCGGCGGTAGCACCATCCCGCGCCTCCAGCTCCGCGCCGCCGGCTGCCCCCTCCAGACTCCGGCGCCGGAGTTTCCTCACCCTCGGCCCAGCGCTCCGCAGGGCAGGCAGGAAGCAAGGATGGGGAGCCCAGAAAAAATCGGTGCTACGGTGGGGCTGTTGAAATAAAGGGAGCGGCAACACACAGTCGGACCGCGGCCAGAAAAACATCCCCCACGAACATGGGACCCTCCGTCGTCCAAGACAAACAGAACATCTAAGGGCACCATCCCCAGGATGCACAGGAACATCCAACAAACACGACGAACTAGAGGATACCCTCCCCAAACCGACCTCGATCTTATATCTCGGTCCGACTGTCAAGCCGAAAGAACGGCCGTAACATCCGCGGGGACACCGAGGCTCGCCACCAACAACAGCAACGGAACGCATGCAAACCTGAGGAACCACCGAGCAATTTCCGACGTCGAGATGGACATGATTTAAACGAGCTGACTGTACTACCATCTGTTTCGTGCTGATCGAAAAGCCTTCGGGCGAATCCTGAAGCAGGGCAATGATGGTTCGCTTCCTCCTGCTGATTCACTCCAGGCGAAAAGGTTTAGATGCGGCCGTGATGCTGGTGGTGGCATATCTTGTGAAGTGCATTGCCATTCCACAACAATCAGCATGTTCTAAACCAACTGCTCTGCCCGTCGGGAACAAATGCAATCTTACGCACGAAGTCCATCGGTTGCATCAGATGCTGGCCGCGGCCGTGCAAAACTTAGGAAAATCTTGGGGCCGCTAAACGGACTCCTCCCAGCCCTAGGACCCGAGGCCACCTTCGCCCAAAACCAACCTCACCAGGATATGACCCAAATCTTTGGATGATTGAAGAGCCAACCATCCGACCCAACCCATCCTGGCAACGCTGAACGAAGAGAAAGACACTGAAGCGTGCCAGAATCACCTCCACAGGTGCAGGCCATGGAGCACCGCAACGTGCCCTGGAACGCGCGTCAAGTTCAAACATCGAATCGGCTGTTCTAGAAGGGCTTCATTGACTTGTTTGGCCCTCTCTTAGGGGGCAGATGCTGCCTTCCGCTGGCTTCTGTACACAGAGCAGCCCTCGTCTCACTGCCGAAAGCCTTCCGCCGATGAACCGATGCCATCCTCAACGTCCCTCGAAAGCGAGGCCCTGACTGGAACGCTCTGCGTGAAACCTGTTTGCTGTTCAAGGCGAACCTCCCCTGGCAGTTCCCAAAGAGACGCCCCATGTCCCGATGCCATCCGGAGAGCGGGAGATCGCCCAAATCGAGTCCTCCAGACGGACGAAGAATGCCGCCACCGCACGGTACCAACAACACGATCCTCGGACGATTGGCCTGCGTCGTTGGCAGTCGCCGGTTGGCTCCCACACGCAAGCGGCCTATGACTGCAGGAGGACGAAACCCGATAGAACCACGATCCCAAACTCCGAACGCGTGTGCGCGTGGACCAGGAATGCTGAGGCAGCAAGAGAGAACTGAGAAGGTGAGAGGATAACTAATAAGGGGGGAGGAGAAAGTTCCGTGCTGGCACCCTTGGAAGGCCTTTGGTGGTCTCCTGTGGTGTCTTGTGGTCCTTCCTGGGAGCGCCCGACAGGCGAGCCTCGTAGAGCAGGTGCCGACGTAATTAAACGACTACCTTTGATATTAAAGCCCTGGGGATAACAGAGTTCGGGGACTGGGTGGATAATAAACGGTTTTCCCGGCGGGCGAAGGATGATGGTGATGATGATGATGATGATGATGATGATGATGATGATGATGATGGTGATGGTGGTGGTGGTGGTGGTGGTGATGATGATGATTATTATCCTAGGCGCTCGTGAAACTAGATCCTCGCACAAAATTGTACTTGGTGTCCTCGAGCCTTGCGATTAAAGGTGGCCTGCGCAGGAGAGGTTATTGGCGCTCCTGGCCAAGAAACCTCTCTTGCGTACCACTTCGACCCATTCGCCCACTCAGCGATTGTGATGATGATGCTAGTCAGCATAAGAAGATAGCAACTTCGATTCGCAACTTCCCCCCGCGATAATCAAGTTCGGCCTCGCCGCTCCTTTCCACACTCAAATCTGCCTGACCCGGGAATAATAACCACTCAGGGGTTAAGGGGGTGATACTTTTTTTGTCCGGAGTTCGGGGCTCGTGCGCAAGAACTGCGTAGTCGTTTTGGAAGGCTGCGTGGAGCCACGCGCTCCACCCGTGCGTCGATGCTGCGTCGAACGGCCGTCGAACGTGAGTGCAAACTTGAGCCGAGCTGAAGTCGAGCTGCAAGCGAACCAGAGCCGAAAAGATCCGACAGGTGGGCCAAAGGAAGTGGCCCACCACGAACATCCACCGAGAGAGGTGCCCCCCCTCCTCCTCAGCATCAGCTTCTCCAGCTCCGCCTCGGCAGCGGCCTCGGTCTCTTCCACGTCCGCCACCGCCGACGCCACCGCGGCCCTTGTGCCCGAAGCCTGCGCGTTCTGAAAGCGAGGGCGCGCCCCGGGCACCGACCATCAAAATCTCACCGCCCGCCCCTCCGCCCCGGGTGCCATAGCCGGGCGTGACTGAAGAGGACACGCGAGAGGACACGAGACCCTTCTGAGGGCCACGCTGCCCCAGGACTGCGGAGGACGTGGGACGCGAAACACAGGTGGACCTGGAAGGGCCGATCTACTAATCAAATTCGACTGTAGGGCTCCTACTCCCCCTCCCCCGCCCCCTCCTCCTCCTCGCACGTGGCTCGGACCAGGCTCGTTCGGATTTCCAACTCCTCTGCCTCAGCTTGCCGTGAGAGCTGAGAGCGAGCAGCACGGGCACACAATGGAATATCATTGCTTACGACCCTGGAGACCCCTCGGAGCGCGTTGTACAATAATGAAAAAAAAAACACAGCACTAGCCCCTGGTCCGCCAGGAACCGATCAGAACCAGACATGCCCCCCGCGAGGCCGCTCTCACATCCTCCTCCTCCTCCTCCTCCTTCTCATCCGCTTCCTCCGCACTCTCCGCCTCCCCCCCTCTTTCTCGTCGACTACCTCTTCCTCCTGCTCCTCCTGCTCCTCCTGCTCCTCCTGCTCCTCCGCCTCCTCCTCCTCCTCCATCTTTTCCTCCCCCTCCTCCTCCTCCTCCTCCTCCTCCTCCTCCTCCTCCTCCTCCCCTGCCCCTCCGTCTCCTCCTCCCCTCGTCTTCCTCCGTTCCCTCATCCTCCTGCTCCTCATCATGCTCGTCCTCATCGACCTCCCAATGGTTCCCTGCCCCTCCCTTGGGTCCCCGTCCCACGCCATCACATTCCGTCTGAAAGGCCGTCCACGGCAACAACAGTTTCGAAAAGCGACCGAACCAGCAGCGAAACCGAACCCACAGGGCACGAGCAGCGACGCCCTCCCCCTACCTCGCACACAGCCGCAGCCCGCCCCGCCGAAATCGCCAAGTACTCTTTCTTTCCGCCCCGCCCCCCTCAGCTGCCATCTCGCGTCCCGCCCCCCTCAGCTCCCTCACCTCCCCGCCCCCATGCTGGGGAAACACAAACACCGACACCGCTGCTCCCTGGATCCCTTCCGGGGCGACGAGGAAGAGTTAGCGGCATCGGTATAGCTTCCTAATATGACCGCATCCCTCGCGCGCCCCCCCCTTCCTCGCCCTCCACCCCCGTGCGACCGCCGATCGGCCCTCCCACGTCTTCTGGCCGATTCAAGAGGCCCCGAACATCGCTCCGATGTGGCCTCCTCCCCCTCTCGGCACCCTCTTCTTCTGCCTCCTCCGCCACCGCCTCCGCCGCCGCCTCCTCCCCCTCCCCGGTCATCCCTGCTATTGTGTCCCGCAGCCCTCTATCGCGCCCCGAGTGTTCCCCTGCCCCCCCCCCGCCCTCCCCTACCCCCCCCCGCTAACACCCGCCCGAGCGAGGCAAGGCGAGGAACAGCAGGTGGAGGAAAGGGGGGGGGGACCGATCGCCCCACAGAGGGGCCCATGGTCAGGAGGCGGCTCCTGGGAGGCCTCCGAGGGAACGATTGCAAGCGACTTTGCCCGATCGAGGTGGCATTACGTCGGCGGCGAGCCCCAGGGGCCAGTCAGAGGGAGCCGGCGCTCGCAGAAGGCGGCGGGACAACTCGGCCACCGGGCGCGGCGCCGATCGAGGCAGATCGGCTCAGGTGGAGCTCAGGACCAGGGCGGGTTCGGCAGGCTTCGGCGGCACTGCGCGAGGCAGTGCGGCTGAGCCAGTTCTTCCATCAGGGAGATTTGGGGCGCGAAGGAAATGGGAGCGAGAAGGGGGGAGGGGGGCCCTTCTTGGGCCGTCAAGGATCCCCTCGGGGCCCGCAGGGGCCCCTTTCTGCAGCTCTCGCCGCCCCCCCTCCCCCCCCCCCATTGCACCGCCCTTCCTCGCGCGGCCCTCGCGATCTGCCCGAGTGTGGCCTCCCGGGGAGCTGCGCCCTCACAGGGGGGGCCCCCGAGCGGGGGGCCGGTTGGAAGCGGGGGGGGGCTCGCGAGGGGGGCGAGGAGGGGGCGGCTGGGGGGCGAGGCGCGACCCCCTATCGGGAGCGCTCGCGGGAGGCCCCCAGCGAACAAGGGAGCCCCAGAGAGGGGCCGACCAGACGAGGGGCTCCCGAGGGGGAGAGAAGGGGGCGGGGGGGGGGGCGAGGCGCGCCCCCCGAGACCGCTCGCGGGAGGCACCCCAGCGAACAAGGGAGCCCCAAAGAGGGGCCAATTAGACGAGGGGGCTCTCGAGGGGGCGGGGGGTGGCGAGGTGAGGAGGTGCGTCCACGAGGGGCGCGCCCAAGAGTCGAGAAGCAGGGATCGACCAGAGAATCGATCGAAGGAGCCCAGGGACACACAGAGAAATATAATCACATCCCAGGATTCCTCGTATGTTTGCATCTGTTCTGTGATGTCGTCTTCCCCTCCACTTCCCACATGTCCCTTGGGATCGACGATTGTCTGTGTCTGTGTGAGTTGCCCCTCCTGATCGATTTGCCCCAACATTGCTTCCCCGTCGAGTCTACGAACCATACCTACAGTACTCCGTAGATGCGCACGCTGGCCGTCCTACGCATGTTTCCCATGGGCTCGACGGGACAAAAACTTCAGGGGCAAATCGATGATATGTAGTCGATACCCTACTCGAGCAGGGGAGGTGTCGCGAATCGCGAGCCGCCGAGCTCTCGGGAGCCGTCCTGGCCCAGGCCATGACACCCGCCTCTCCGCAGTCTTCGCTGCCCTCTTGGCCGCCCTCGACCCTCCGCAAGACGGAGCCAGGAGGAAGCTGCCATCAGAGCGAGATAGATCGCCGATCTACCTCGCTCCGATCGCCGATCTATCCAGCCAGTTCTCAGCGATGTCCGATCTAAGATCGGGCACCGCTGAGAACTGGCGGGCTTGGCTGATGGGCTAGGCGCCACAGCCGCCCTATAGCACCTAAGGACGCTCTGAGAGTGCTCCAAGGCGTTCTGGAGGTATCATGTGTGTGTGTGTGTGTCACAGGGCTGGACCCAAACGTTGTTGTTCGTTGTGGCTTCGTTTTGTTCTCCGTTTTGCTCTGCCTGCTTTCCTGTGCCTACTTCCCAAAACGAGCACCGAAACTGGGCATCGCTCGGACGTCCGCTCCCCGTGTTTTTTTGCGGTTTCGTGTAAAAAAATGGGAGAGAACGATTAAAACACATAGTTTTCTGCTATTTCTGCACAATTTTCTGACTGGAGGAGAACGATTAAAAACATAGTTTTCCAACCCGCGGCTGGTTTTTTCCAGTCGTCATCCCGGGCGCCGCCGCGTGAACACGACCCCAGGTCATTTATTAATCGTCATCCTCCATTACGCAGCACAGGGAGCGGGAGGGCGCCCCCGGCCACGGCGAGCCTCGGCCACGCACGGGCTCCACGACCTGCCTCTGAGGAGCGGTCAACAACAAATCGGCGCCCCCCCCCCCTGGAAGTAAGTCGGGCGTGTCCCCCTGCAGGGGGATCTTCGACGAAAAATGAAAGAGACCCAGCAAAATACTCCAAAATGGTCAAGGAGTGCTCCAAAAATAGCCCCCCGGACTATATTTTGACTATTTTTGAATATTCCTCCTGTAGAGGGACGGGCCCGACTTAACCCTGGAACCCGGAGCGCTACATGCCTCAGCCTTTTCGCGGCACTCAGCGACATCTGCAACGGCCCCTGGCAACATCGAGCGACATCGAGCGACGTCCGGCGACGTCCCTAGAGGAAGAGCAAGGACACATAAACATACACTTTCGACGGTCCGCGCAGATTTCTTGGGTTTGCGCCGCGCGCCGGGGGCGGCGCCGGAGGCGCCGCCAGGGGGCCCCGGCGCGGATCCAAGAAATCCGCTGGGAGCTTCAAAAGTTTCTGCTTATGTTTTTTCGGCGGTGGACAAACCTCCCTTTAGTAGACCTCCATTTAATGAAAACGTTCTATATGACCGAAGCCGACGGACCTGGACCCGCAAAAACGCCGGCCGCGACGCCCCCTCGCGAACCGAAAACGGCCCATTCGCTAATTGACGCGTCAGGGTAGGAGGTCTTTCGATCTCCGAATGTTTCTGCTTCTGGCGCTTTTTCCCTTGTTCGATCTTCGGCGGGCCTCGCCGAGCAACCAAAGCTGCACGCGCTCGCGAGCGCTGCCGGCCCCCCCGCCGCCAGCCCGCGCGCCTGGCCGCCCCGGGCGCCCCCCGCGGCAGCTCCGCCTGCCGCCCTCGTGGCCGCGGCGGGCTCCTGGAGGGCAGCGCCGGGGAGGGGCACGCGGGGGGGCAGCTTTCCCTTTCTTGGGGGTTCAGCCCTCCCAAGCTGAAGTGTTCAGTAGGGGGCCACATGCGAACCCTGCCCTATGCCCCCCACGATTTCGGAGGGGGAGGGCGGGGTTCACTTCGCTCGGGAGCTCCCGAGCGAAGTGAACCCCACCCCTACCCCCTCCGAGATCGTGGGGGGCATAGGGCAGGGTTCGCATGTGGCCCCCTATGATCAGGCCGACGCTCGTCGGAGCTCCGCGGGGCCTCCCCGCGGCCACGGGGGGCCCCAGGGGCTCTCGGAGGCACACCCGCGCCAGGGAGCTCGGCTCGCGGCGCGAGCCTGCTCACAAGTAGCACGGGAGGCAGCTCCTGACTAGTTACCTACCAGACCACCCCAACCCAACCCGAAGACCCCAATTTCGGGTTGGGGGGGGTACGGGTTCCATATGTGTTTTTTCAATGATCCCCGACCACCCCCACTGGAAATCGAGGATAAATTTGGGCCTTCGGGTTGGGTTGGGGTGGTTTGGTGGGAGGCAGCTCCTGGGAGGCCTTCGTCGGAACCGACGGAGGGCCAGGACGCCCGATGAAGGGGCCACTGCGCCGGAAGAGGCCGGACGAGGCCCAGGAGGCAGCCAGCCTGAGCGGGAGAAAATCGGAGCGAGATCAGGCCAAGACTAGAGTGTATAGGGGGGAGCGGAACAGCAAGCGAGCCGAAAGCAGACGGGGCCACTTCCTCGACGAGGCAAGGGCCAGCGCCGATTCCGAGTGAAAGCTCCGCTCCCAGGAGCTGCATCCTAAGAGGGGTCCGAGGAAGAGCAGGGGGGCACCAGCGTCAGCAAAGCGGTCGCATGACACCTCGACGCGGGCATACGAGCGTCTGGGCGAGTCGGGGTGCTGGCGACGATGAGAAGGAGCGACCGAGTGCGAGTGGGTCTGAAGGTGTGCAGCCGAGTAGGAGCGACGCTGTGTGATGATCAGAGTCTGAACCTGTTTCGGTTCGGACATACACACCGTCGCCCTGAGTTTGTCCAGAGCCCACAACGCACGCACAGGGCGACGCGTTCCCCCAGTGAAGCGTCGCATGGGCCGCCGCTGCAGCCGCGGTGTGCCCCGACACCTAGCTCCTGGGAGTCCCGAGGTTCGGCCTGAGGCCACCTCTCCGAGGAGAGAACGCGTTTCGTGAACGCTTGCCTGGAAAAAAAACACCTTGACAAGTTGGAGCCGGGGGTGGCCCCCCGCCCCCCCAACACATTGAGCATCCCTGGAGGACTCGGGAGGGCCCTCCCCCCCTGAACACCGGCCTGCCAAAACGGGAAGCGCCCCCACCTTCTCCAAAAGGGGGGCGGGTTCGAACACCGGGTGGGGGGTGGGGGCCTGCCCAAAGGGGGGGATTGAACCGCCGGGGAGGGCCCACCCCCCTGACTGCGAGTGTAAGGGGGGCGGGGGGGGTTCGAACTGGGAGGGGGCCCCTCCCCCCTGTCCAGGAATGGGAGATTCGAACTGGGAGCCCCCCCTCCTCCCTGCAAAGAGGGAAGGAGGGCTTCGAACCGGGCGTCGTCGTCGTCAATCGCTGCCCGACGGCGCCGGGGGGGGGGCCCACTCCAGCTCGATCCTCCCCTTGCATTTCAGGGGGGGGCCCTGTATGCGTCGTCGTCGCCGCCGCCGCCGCCGTCGCCGCCGCCGACACCGCCGCCGCCGCCAGCATCGTCGTCGTCGTCGTCGTCGTCGTCGTCGTCGTCGTCGTCGTCGTCGTCGGCGCAGGCGCGGGCGCCGGCTCGCTGTCGTCGAAATGGAAACTCCTGGTTCGAACCTCCCCCCCTTGCAACTCAGGGAGGGCCCCCCCCCCGGTTCGAATCACCCCTCCCCCTTGCAACTCGAGGGGGGGGTGTCCCCGGTGGTTCGAACCCCGCCCCCATGCAACTCAGCGGGGGGTCCCCTCCCCAGTTCGAACACCCCACCTCTTGAGGGACAGGGGGGCTCCCCCGGTTCGAGCCCCCCCTTTTGCATCTCAGGGGGGCCCCCTCAGTTCGAACCCTCCCTACTGACATCGTCCACAAAACGCGTTATGTCTCGCTAAAGTACGTTCGTCCAGGGTCTGTTTTCGATATGCAGAAAAAAAGCGGACCTGATGGGAACGGGCCGCAGACCCAGGGCCTTCCCCCAAGAAAAACTTTCCAGCCTGAGTCGGTATTAAAAGTCCCCAGCCCGTGGAGGGCCCCCCGCATTGGAAAGCTCGTGAACTTCTCTGGCGCCCGTTTCCCTCCGGACACTTTTCCCTTCATGGCGAACACTTGGCTTCCTGACCTGTTCAATGCAGGGCCCCCGGAAGTCACGACAAGGCCGGCGTGGCTTTCTTTCCGAGGAGCTCTTGACGACCCATGGCCATGAAAGGCCGTAGGAGCCCGAAAACTACTAACCAGGACCTGTTTTCTCCACGACTCGCTTGTTCCATGCTCGTTGGCACATAATTTGATTATGCCGCCCCAGAGCAGGCAAACTGTTAAAATCCTGGTTTGGTTCGAAGTTTGTAAGACATATGCAGAATGTGCATGGAACCGCGAAGCGGGCGAAGTATGAGTGTGAGTGTGCTCGGATTGTAAGTTTGAAAAATACTGCCTGGATCTGAAAGTTCGAAAAAGTTTGAAAGCTTGAGACAAGTCACCTGGATTCGTAGTGAGTTTGAAAAAAGTCGCGCTTCCAGGCGACGTCCCCCAGTCAATTACTAACAAGCCCCCCACCATTGACAAGCTCACAGCTGCACAACTACACCTACTGGTGGAGGGAGGGATGATTGCGACATTCGGAGTACTTCATCACGCGCAAAAGGATCACAGGTGTATATGTATATACCTTGAAGTGTATACGTAGGCGTCAGACTTACATCCGCCAGCGCGGTTGCTCCCACCGCTGCGGCGGACCCATGACCTGGCCCAGCACCCCCACGGCGCCTCAAGGGCAAGGGAGTTGAGATATGAGACGCACCATCTTTGGCCTGTGGGCCGTGCGGACCCTGGTGTGGGGACGTCCGGTCCCTCGCAGGGACGGTGCCCGCGCACGGCACGCACATCCATGCAGGAAACCTCGCGCGTGTTCAGGCTCCACCTGTCCTGGATTCCAGCGTAGGGCTCAGAGGCGGGGCAAAACTCAAAAAGCAAGGGAGCCGTGGATTGCGAAGTCAACGCTGTCAGCTGCCGAAGGCGGAGAACGGGGGCTCGGGACGGGACACATGCGTGCGTTCAAAAGTAAGCACACGACGTATGTGTAAGGATGCCGTGTCCAGCCCAGTGCAGGGAAGGGGGACGGGTGGGGAGATGGGGCGAGGGGGAGGGAGGGGAGGCGGGAGGATCCGAGGGAGCAGCGGGGGAAGGAGGCTCGTGGGCTGTGGGCCAGAGGCATTTGGGGTGCCTGCTGGGGGCTGTCGGGGACCCTCCGGGGAGCTTCCTGGAGGCAGCTCTGCAGCGCGCGGGCCGTGGAGGGCCGCTCGGGGCAGCCTGGGCCCCCACGAGGGCTTCTTGGGAGCTTGCTGGCGGTCTCGAGGGTCCCCTTGGGGCGGAGCGCTGGCGCTGTCAGCTCCACCTGCCCCCCTCGTGGGGCCCCGGCTGCGGGGGGCTCTCTTGGGGGCGCTGCGGGGCCGCCTTGGGCGGCCACGGGGCCGCACTGGGGGCTCTCTTTGGCTTGTCTTGGTAGGGGACCACATGCGAACCCTACCCCTACCCCCCACGAGTTCTGAGGGGGAGGGTGGGGTTCACTTCATTCGGGAGCTCCCGAGCGGAGTGAACCCCACCCCACCCCTCAGAAATCGTGGGGGGTAGGGGTAGTGTTCGCATGTGGCCCCCTACTTGGGGCCGTCTCGGGGCGGCCGTAGGCCGTCTTGGAGCGGTCTTGAGGGGACGGGCAGAGACATACTAATACTACGTGTCCTCCCTGGAGGCGCGCGTCCGACCCAGACATCTAGTAGGCCCATCTTGTAGTATGTCGTTTCCCGAGCGGTGTGGCCAGAAAGCGCCCGCCACGAGGCATATACTATAAGATTTCTCGGGGCGCGTGTCGCCCCTGAGGGGGCGACGCACATATAGTATGAGTACGTTGGGGTGACGCCGATCGTTGGCCGTCTTGAACGCGGCAAGATCCCAAACAGCGAAAGCGTCAAACATGTACGCTTTCCTTTGGGATGGGGACGATAATTGCCTGTTAGGGCCGTCTGGCGCTTCTCTTGGAGCCGTCTTGGCGCGTCCTGGGGGCCTCCTGGACCGTCCTGAGGCCATCTTGGCCTGCCATGTTGGCCTGCCCGGACAAGACTGGAATCAACCTGGGGCCGTCCGACACGATTTTGGGGCCGCTCGCGTGCCAGATTTTCACCGTGGGCGCCTCTGAAAGCCGAAACTGGTCCCAAGGGCGCGAAAAAGGGCCCCCGACCCCGAGGGGAAAGTCGGGTTATCCGGAGGGAGGGGGTGAAGATGGGCTGCGCCTGGGCCTGGCGAGCTGGGCAAGGCTAAAATCACGCACGAGGATCCCGCGTGCCCTGGCTCCAGCACGGAGCACACTAAAATTTCATAGCACAGTGGTTGGTGCATGGACGAAGGAAACGCTGGGCGGGGGGCTGATGCCGCACTCGCCAGGACATCAGTACAGTGTGGGCCCGACCACAAGAAACCCAACTCTGAGACCCCAGGACGTCCGTTGATGTTTGGTGTGGGAAGGTCACGCTTTCCATGGCAGAGCCATCGAAACCCAAGAAACCCAGGGCACCCTGGAGGCAAGCAGGGTGTTCCTTGGCATGGGTCTCCACTGTAGGAGCGTGGCAAGCTGCCGCATATGCGGAATCGCCACGGTCGGAATTGCGACCCACGCGTGTCAGGGAGCGTTGCGCTCAGTTATCACGCCTGGGCACCTTCAGCTGGCGGGCCTGGGATTAGGTCGGGCCTGTCCCCCGACAGGGGGATTTTGTGCGAAAAACCAAAAATATTCAAAACATACCACCAA